TGGGCTAATCAGACTAGCCGAAAGTAAAAATGATAATAGATGTCTGTGAATGATTTTTTTCATGGTTCTTGAGAGCACGGATGTTAAATTAATTGGCCTATGGTCAACAATATCACTACGTGATCTTGAATCTAAGGGTGATAAGAGATGTTTTCCATACAGATGTATAGATCCCATATTTCATAGATAGGTTGAAAAGTCCCATACAAAATAGTAGGAGTTCTCTACTACCATATTTCACAAATGATGAGGAGATGAGGTCCACCATCATGAGACGTTTTTAGGGCAGCAATGGTCTACTTGATTTTGAAGGGTATAAAATCAATTTTCGATAGTTTTCTGGATGTCGGCATTGGAAATGTGTTCATAAAGTTTTCAGTCCCAGTTTTGCAGCATTGCGAGAAGTGTTTGTTGGATTGTTCGGGAATAATAATAGGGTCATCAACATTGCTTCCCTTACCCATAAAGAGTTTAGTCGTGAGATGAGAATTTGAATTCACATGAGATTTAAAAAGCCGAAGTATTGATAATTCTGGGCTTTTATTACGTAGGGCTTTATTTTCTATATTCATAAAACACTTGCGTTTAGATGAAGCATTACTGTCGATCAAGTTAAGCATACTCTGAAGTGTATACACGTCATTGTGCTCGTAGTAGCGTTGTGTTAATTTCCTAAGCCTTCTTTTAGAAGTTCTAAAAGTATTCAGGCCCCTATTAGCATTATAAGCCGCATATCCAGTAACTGGAGCAGCGGAGTCAAGGCAATATATCAGGTTGTGGTGTAGATTGGAAAGCGCAGTGTTAACATTATTTGTGGCAAAATAAGTTTCCTATGGTAAACATTGAATGAGGGTTTCAGTCCGTTTCGAGGTTCATCGATCGAAATGTCTGCTCTCGTACATCATTGAAGCTTTAGTGTTCAGTTGTATGGCGTTTAAAAAATGAATAATAATAAATACAACTCTATGATCACTCATGAAAAGCTCATGACTGGTATGTACTGATACTGAGTCTATGGTGATTGTAAGCAATAAATCAAGTATATTATTACCCCTAGTCGGCTTTCGGACCTCTTGAACCTGTAATGGCATTGGACCATAACCACGCAATTCTCAAAGCTGAACATGAGACAACTTGGAAAATAGATATTCAATACTTAACGCGGAGAAATACCTACTGCTGCAGAAGGCGAAAACTATGGGCTGAATGAGTTGGAGTTGGTCGAATGGAATGACTCGGCCTTGCAGGCATGGACCTTAATTCTACAAACCCGTCCCCTGCTGAAGTGATGTCCGGACGGAGCATCTGAACGAGATCCGACGCCATGTTACCACCTAAACCATTGGATGGACGCAGAGAATATCAGAATATCCATAATTTTAACGTGAGCGATAAAGTGTTCGTCGAGTCATGCATTGAGAAAAATCGTCAGGAATCGGGAGTCATAGAAAAGAGAATGGTAAATGTTTTGTACAAAGCGCGTGGAACTTTTGACACATGGATTAGCAAATACACAGAGAAGAACAGACGCTAAACCCGGTTGGTAGTCGAGTTAATCTTTGACTGGAGATAATTACAGATACTCCAATAACAGGATTCCTAACAGACGCTCATAGACGCTGGATACCAATAAAGTCCAAACGCTGTAGAAAACTAGTTATCAAACTTCGGGTAGACACGAAGAAGAGATCTTATTTTTCGAAAGAGTGAGGTGTTGGGGAGATCCAGAAAACTCTTCGAAAAAAGCCGAAAATGCTCTGAAAACATTGAGAAGCTTATTATCCAATCAGCATTCATTAGAAGTTTCGCCAGAAACATCTATGAAGTGAAAAGTCATATGTCAAGTTTTTGATTGGATGATTACCTATACTGCCACCACGTTTAGTGGAGTTCTAGAATTTCCCGGAATCCCCAGGCCACCGGGAACATTATAAAAACCCTAAATTTTCTGCATATAAGCGAAATTTTGGAGTAAAGCGTTTATTCTTTATTCAGTCCCTTTTTTCTTGTGTTCAAGTTGCTGTGTAGATCTAGCCCGGGGTTACTAGAAGAGCTTAGGAACCGAATCTAGCATTCAGTTAGAAGACTTATCAGAAACCTAACCAAAATTTGCTTGTATCAGTTACCTGCCTTTGTATATTTACGTCGACTAAGAGCAATAATTGCTAATGGTTGATGTTTTAAAGAGTCTAACACTAAAGCATGTAGACGTTAATAAAGCTCGTTACATAATCACCATAACTAATCCGCTCGTGAGTGGTCAGTTATTGGTATTATTCGAGCTAGTAAACTACGAGTATTAATCAATATCAAAATACAATGTGCATGAGCATTATTCAACAGATGAATATAAAAATGGTTCAACATAAGAAAGAATCAATCGATAAAGTAGAAGTGTAGTGGCATTGGACCATAACCACACAATCTTCAAAGCTGAACACAAGACTACTCAGAAAATAGATATTCAATATTTAACACGGAGAAATACCTAAGAATGGAGAAGGCGCGGAGAATGAATTGAATGGACTGGGTTTGATCTGATGGCATGGCTCGTCCATGCAGGCGTGGTCCATCTCAATGTTACTTAATATCTTCTATTCATATTAAATATATTGTTTTTTCTCTAGCCTAACCTTGTTCCTCATCATGTATTGGTAATTGATACGATACAGTGAGTTGGTGTAGTCGATGGTGTGACTTCTACGTAAGATCTTATAGATTAGGCAGTTATATCATGACAAATCTACAAATTTAGGATTAGGTCTATTATTAGAGCAGTACTAATATCATAGTAGACCATAATTCTACAGAAGTGAAAATGAGAATTTACAGCAAGTTGTGTTCCTTTAGTCGGTCCCACCGATATGGAATATTTATCTGTCTCGAAATAAGTATATTTACATTTGTTCATATAATGATAGACTAAACCCTAAAATAATAGATTACTCATGATATGAAGAATAACATTATTCGAATGCTTAAACATAAAAACTACTACTAAGCAGGATATAAAAGGACTAGCGACAACACATATGAGCAGTTCAAACAAGCAAGGAACAGATGCACAAAGACTGTGAGAAAAGACAGATCTCAGTATCGCATAAATCTGATCGACAAACTAATCAACAATGAGATCTGCTAATTCCATCGTGTAGCCTCTATTCGACAACTTAAAACCAGAGTTTCCTAATTGTTGGGTCCCAATGACCAAACCTATAAAGACAGTAGCGCCGCCGACATTCTGACAGAACAACACTTTCAGACATTTGAACCGTCTCATACTAACCACGTCGACGAGAGCACCACTCGCATCTCATCAAGACTCTCAGAAGTAGACCTGAGCGCCGACCTCATGAATAAGAATCCGCAATACCTAGACAAGGACACATCACCCGGATCAGATAAGGTTCACTCTACTACACTGAGAGATTTGGCTTCAGTCTCTAGCAACACCTCTACTCATGGTGTTCTAGCATTCGCTAAGTCGAGGCACATTACCAGGAAATTGGAAGCTGACTCACATTACACCACTTCTCAAAGAATATTGACGCAGGGAGCCTTCAACCTACCACGTGGTACCACTTTTCTCAATATCCTCAAAAATTATAGTGTCTAAAATGCACGTTTCACGTGACTACATACTACTCACTAACTTCTTTTCATAGCAACAGCACAGTTTCAGAAAAGGTCACTCTTGTATAACCAACATGGTGACTGGGGTGGACAGATGGACAACCATCCTTGACCGCAAGGGGAAGCTTGATGTCATATAGTCTGACTTCTCTGAAGCTTTCGATATGGCCAATTATACATGTTTTATCGATAAGCCCAAATAATTAGGTATCAAGTCATTGTTAATTGATTAACTTGCTTCATATTTCAATAATTGACATTTTGAGGTCAGGGTAATTTTCACTTTTTCTCAGGCTACAGAATGAGCTTGTGGGTTCCTTCAGATTTAGTGCTAGGATCTTTTCTTCTTTAAATTGATACATATGACCCCCCTCGACAAGTATCTTCCGATTCATTACTCTCGTTGATGATGTGGAACTGTGGAAATATGCAACCAGGAGGATAAGCTGGCACTGCAGAAGGATCTGATTTGACTTCAAAGTGTAAGGCAGTTCATCTGAAATATGTTGGCATCTTACGATCTGAAGTTTCACGCTACTCGTGACAAAAATATCTCCCGTGCAAACCTTTCATTGGTAACACTGGAGCGCATTTTTGACCATTCCGATGGAAGGACTTTCACATAATCTTCATTAGTTTTATTCGTTCACATTTAGAATATGGAGACGTAGTATTTTATCCCTCACTCCAGAAGGATAAGGACACTCTGGAACATAACCGACGTGAGCTACGAAATCGGTTCGAGGACTCAAATTCAAGTGTTATGAAGGGGACTTTCAATCACTGAATCTTTACTCATTAGAGTACAGGGCTCTTAGAGATGGCCTTGTAATGACTTAAAACCTCCTAAACACGTTTGGACATCCCCTTAGTTACGACATACACTTTAGGGGTAACAGCCAGAAACTGGAAACAACACAACAGAACGGAGTGTATGCACATCTTCTACTCCTCGAGGCTTGTAAAATTCCGGAATACTCTGCTGGTTAGCTGGTGCAAGCTACTTTCCAGTAGTCCTTAAGAGAGAACGTGATATATTCTGAAGGCTCACCAGTGTAGATCGCCAACGTAGATGATCCATGTCGAAATGATTGGAGGCCTACTCGAGTTAGACGTGAATGGTGTGACAAACTAGCTAATGTCGAAGTCAAACCTCGTGGTCAGCACCTTACGTGGACTACCCCCATTGACGTATCACGGTACCATAGATGCTTTGAAGACTACAACACAGAGGACGTTATTACAGAAATATATTAGTTAAGGTAGATACAAACGAAAGTAAGACCACTGCCGCATGGGCCAGTCCATGGCATACCATTAACTAATGTGCATTGGTTGTACATGACCTTGGCAGGGAGCGATGATCTGTTCGACATTCAGTGATCCAACTGCCGGATGATTTGGCTAGGGCTCAGTGACATTTCACTGGCCCTACAGGACAATATCTCACCATAATCTAATATTTCCTTCTTTTATCGTTAAATATACCTAGGTTCCTATCTCGCAGCACTGGTGATCCACTGTTATTAGATACGGAAGCTCGTTAAGCAAAAGTTTCTTCTATGCGGTGCAGAACCTTTCGAGACAATTATTGGATATCGGACGGGCGGACGGTTTGGATATCGCTTGTTTTTTGATGGATGATGTACTTAAGCAGTTGGAAGATGCAGCTACTGCACAACTGGTAACATTTTCAGTCTATTATATTTTCAATAAAAGCTGTCGGTAAAGTCGGAAGATCGTAAACGAGCAGAAGAGAAGATTTTACAGTTCCGTTCATGCTCTGAGCCTTACGAAATCTGCACTGTTATTTTAAGTGAGTTGTTTATTAGTTATGAGTGTGCCTAACATGTTTAAGCGTATTTTATTGACATGAGTAGTCTTAGCGTACATACTCCGCCCAAATTTTGGTTCACAGTATCATAGAACGTCTTGGTCAACCTGATTGAATGCCCTTCTAAGGTCAGAAATTACATCCATAATGATCACCGGTAGGTAGGTCCGGATTCCAGAACTGAAGAACGGTTTACGTATTCACGTCCAGATCTGGAGGCAACTTGGTCCTCCTGGGTTCGCTCTCCACAAGCCTTAGTCAAGTAGTGGAGGACAATTTAATTTGTTCCTCGAAATACCGCTTTGTTTTAGTGACCTCATATGGGGGCAAAACTCTCGGTAATGGTTACGTGAACCAGTGCTTTCAACTCCATCGCCAAACAGATCCTGGTCACTCTTCCATCATCAAGTGGGTTTTTGATTAGTGTGACAAGTTTTGAAATTTCTGTCATTATACAGTACCTATGAAGTATGTGGGTAATATGAATATTTAAGTACTAAGAAGCAAGTCGTTCATATAATCATGCCATGATAATTTTAAGAATATTTAATTTTTCATATCTTAGTTTCTCGCCTTTTTTATTCCTTCACAATAATAATACGATTCCTTGCTCTGGTGCTTTTGTTCTATCAATCAAATGCGTTTATTCTTAAACCAATGAGCCAGTGTTATTAGTATAAATATGACTGTCGGAATTCGTATTCGCTTTTCGAATTTTTAAAGCTCGTTCAAATAATGATTGTCTGCTATATGAAGCTGGTCGATGTCTGTCCCATGCAGTGGTTAGAGAATGGAATTCTGTTTTCGCTTCGTCATTTGAAAGTGTAGACGGCTGTAAAGCACTGCAGCTTCTAACTTTCATCTTGGAATGGTCACAAAGTCGTGGATTCGAGGTAATTTCTTTAAATTTTTACACACCTCATCTGTGTATTTCAACGTTAATACACTCAATTTGTCAGTGCCATTGTTGGTCGAATCTTGTTCGCTTGTAAGATATCTATACTTTAGCCTTGTCGCTGAATGGTTCCGTAGTGGTACTCGGCCTTCAATCCGTAGGTTAGGTTTAAACTACTACACCTACTTTGGTCATGGTAGAGTAGTGTGAATATCCTTCACATAGACTGTACTTGGTATATCCCCTTTAACACTTCGGTTTCGCCAGTTTATTAACGGTTAGGGCGTTCGACTTATAGCCACGAATTCTCATGTTCTTATTCCGCCCCACCTATTCATAGTATTCTAGAAGCCATAAATTAGAAATTAACTGCTGACCGGGATTGAAGCTCAACCCATCAGGCTATCTTAAGTCATCATTTTCAAAGTAACTAAACGCTGGGTTCCCAGGAAGTTTACGAAGTTGGCAAAAAGAAAAGCAGATGTCCAGCGATTTACCAGGTCGGTGGATATCTAGCTGATGTCAGTTCGTGATGAAAACAGTAAATTTAATTCCCAAACCTAACATTCAGTTGTAAATCCTAATCCTAGTTTCTCAAACTAATATATAACTCTCATTTAACCCTGGTAAGTATGTGGGAATCCCAAGGTCATGGGTTGTCCATAAATTATAGTCTTACCAAAAAGGTCCTTTGAGTATTAATTGAATGTAGGGGAACCGTCAAGTGAGTGATGTTGAAGCTAGACGTTAAGTTTATGGTGAATGACGTTGTTCTTTGTCTACTGACGTACTTGCGCCATATGTCACGCGTATTCAATCAATATGCTATGTTGCGTAGCTTATAAATAGCGTTGAAAGGTGAGTGGTAAATAAGCTGTCACTGCATAAGTCACTGACTACTAGTGCGAAATCGGTGGCAGTGGTTCATATTCAAATTCCTCTTAGCTTGTAAATCAGTATCATTCTACACTTTGATTTCCTTCGATCCCATTCGTCTTTCTGAAAATGCTTCTTACCTTAGTCTTAAAATACAATGCATATCTCTATCATATCTTCTCTGATTTTGATGTTGCTGACTCCTGCCTTGTTAATGTGTGGTGTGCGAACGTGAACCGAAACATCTATGAAAAGTCCTAGCTCAAAAGAAATAATGGTATCTTATCGATAATTTCAAGGGACGAATGTTACCGATATGGTCTATTTTGTGTCTGTCATCAATTACAATGTCTTGTTAATGCCTTAAATTGATACTTGCTTAAAATAGGTGGTTTTATGAAGACGGTTGTGTTGGTCTCCAATGTCTTTCTTGGGTTGGAGTTTCAAAGACGCCATTCAATTATCTTTAAGCTTAACTTATTTAGTCATGACTATGTTTCTAGTCCTTTTAGGAATATCAAAAAGCTTTTAATTGAACCAGTCTCTTATTTTATTCAGACTATTCTTAGTGAAAGTCTAGGTGAAGAATATAAACATATTGTGTGCATGCTACTTATGTTGAAGGTAGTAGTATGTAACGACGATCAGAACTGGAATGCCTGGCAGCAGAAGATTGAAAAGATCGAATTGGAGAGTACAGGAATGTAAACAGAGTGTAATTGTAATAACAACAGGACTGAATGAACCACGAAGTTTGTAAGAGATAACTGATGGGAGATGTGCAAATGAAGTGTTCAGTATATGGTTTTCATATTTTGCGAAAACTGTAATGTTGCATTCAAAGATAAATTTGTTTCCCCCTACCTGAGTTACCGTTCACTACAATATTACGGTGTATCTATATGTATCTGTTTGTAATACTAAGTGTGCTCTTCTTCTTGCTTTCATGGTACAATAATGACGAAATGTCTTTTTCAGTGCGGTCCTGCTGCTCGTCAGCGAATTTTAAGCGCTGCTGGAGCACTCGTTAAAAGAGCTTCAGCAGCCCATGCCGAAAAACTTGCTGCTGCCTGGAGATCTACAAAGGCTGATGAAAATGTCATTCATACAACTAGCCTAGGATCTCGAATACTTACCACACCACCAGATGATCCAGGACCTGCTTGTTGGTTATTGATTAAGTTGATTGAACACATCGAAGAGTTGATCCAGCCGCTTACACAATCAGACTTATCTGGCATAAATAACGATCAAGTATGTGGATTTCAAATAATTTGGTTTGTTTTTATGAAATTTGTTTTCTTATATGATTTCAGTTAGTTAATTTTGTGGCTTATTACAATCAAATGACAGTTCCATCCTTATAAGCATAAGAATTAAAATGTTTTTATATTCAAAAATTCTGTCAAATTTTGTACGGAGTAGTCGTCGTCTGTTTGTTCAATTCATCTGATTTTTTCTCACGTTGTCTAGATTTTTAGCCGGCAGTGTGTGTGTGCGAAATCACAAGAACCTTGCTTTCTATGGAGATTCAGAGTGAATCTGTTTGTTATATCGGAAGTTACTTAATGTCTAAGGTGTTCGACTTCCAGCCACCCTACCTAATTCGGTTTATGAAACCGTGTAGTATTTTTAACCCTCACATTTGGAGTGTGGTCTATACCCCAAGTACTTAATTTCTATCATCGGTTTATTCTAGTTTTTAAACCAATAAATAAGTCCATCACAAAATAAAAGTATTTAACTTTCTTACATTGGATCTCTGCTAATACTTTTTTCTTGAAGTGGTACGCGACCATTAAAAATACAAAGAATCTGTGATTACAATCGCATCAGTTGATAAGGTATTCTCGCCCAGAAATGCAAACGTTTGTGGAGTTTCTGACTCCATTTCCAACGCTTTTTAGGTAAATGGAATCATCTCATCACTTACCTAATTCTGTTAATTTAAGTTAAACTCCGACACACTATCATTGATGCGTCAATTCTTAATGTAGTTGATGTTAAAGTTACCCTATTTTGAATTTAGAAAAACCATTTTATGATCATCTGTCAATTAAGAGGTTGTTATTTAAGTTCACTGAAATTACAAAATGGCCTGTCAGTCGGGGTTCATGTGACTAATATATTGCATTCCTATATTAATAATTCTCATCCTTTTGCATCATACTTTTCCTTTGTTATGGATTTTGAATTCTACCATCTTTTTAGGAACCTATTTTTAAACGAGGATTATTAGGTCTGTTTATATTGTCTGCATTATTGGATGAATTTTCCTACTCCGAAGACAGTGCACAGTTGAATATGCCATTAGAAGCACATGTTTTCCTTCGAGCTAGATTTCAGGTATACCAATTTTTTTCTGTCAACAAACATTTTAAAAAAGTTTAGTCATTGTTCTTTCGGGAAAAATTTCTATTCATATGAATTCTATTTGCTGCTTATAAAATAAATCAAATTGAATGTCATTGATAATTTTGATGAATAGAGATCCTGGAGTGTCTAGTTCACCAATTGATTGTAGACCCTAACCATTAAAACTATGCTGTACATTGTGATAGGTCAACTGTTTTGAAAGTATCTACGTCTTCGTGTATTATTTTGTTTTGTTTAAAGATGGTTTGTTGATGAATATACTGGAATTGTATTCGCCTTAGTTTCAAATTATTCATAATTGAGCTTTTATTTCCAAGTGATTGGATCCAGGACCTCAGTTTATCCAACCATCTTTTTTTACTTTGAATCTATATGTTTATCTCTAGTAATTCGAGCTTCTTTAAAACACCGAATATTGAAATGTGTTTATACTGGTATTCCTATTTATAGTTTTTCATTAGGAATGTACATCTCGTCCGATAAACGACGGCAGGACAAGTGGTCCCCCTTAATTACTGGATTAATATCTATCGGCGATGTCATTCCATGTCGTAGAACTGGTCTAATTGTTGTTTAGTGTAAAGAAAAATAGAGCGAAAAATATTTTTCAATTAGTTTCTCTTGATGAGTTCACACTCTATATATAATGACATGATAATACTAATTGCGAAATATTGTTATATAATAGCGTTACAGTTTCACAAGTGATTATGGTAGTAATTTTAAATGATTAACTAAGTAACTGAAAGAGGTAGGGTGAGACAATCATAATAATTCAAGTAATTAGTCGTGGGAGTTGTAAACATGTAGATCAGCGGTTGTCAGATTGTATTGTATATGATACGATAATCAACAATACACTTTGATGAAAATTGAATTGAATAGTAGTTACGTGAAAATAAAGATACAAAAATTAGAATTTTGTAGGAACACAAAAGTAAAAACATTTGACAAAGTAGGTTTGTTCACTCAATAATAGGCTTGTAAGCTCTATATAACTGGTTCCACAGGCCCTACTGATTTAATAAACATATAAAGATGTGGCGAATTCAGTCATTCTTTGTTGTTAGTACTCATCATCATCGGACAGTTATAGAAAATGGTATTCAATTTGACTGGCTGACCAAAGGACAGCTAATAAGGATAACTGAGAGTTCTATTGTCGCTCACTCGGTGGATATTGGATATCTAGTTGACTTAAATAAAGCTAGTAAAGTTATCCACTGTATTCCATCAAGTTTATCACTTGGTTTACGAGTTCATATTTTACACACCACTGAAGTTATCGCATTCTAACCCTGTTCTTCACTGTTTAATCTTTCTTACTATTATTGATTCTAGCACTATTTCGACTCTTCTACTATTCATTTTCTTATCCTGCCGCGGTATAGGAACTTGAACTGACGCACATTTGTTCTAGACTGTTTGTCAATTATGACCAACTGAATATCGTTATGATTCGTAATAAGTGTAACCCTGTTTTGTGCAAACTTTCACATATTTACTGATTCGTACAGCAAGTAAACTCCGTTCTATACATAGCTGATAGATTTAATTGTATATTCAGTTTCGTTTTTCCCTGTAAACAATTGTTCAGTCTCACTTGTGTATATGTAATTATTGTTTTACCCTGTACTTTTTACCATCAGGACTATGAACTAGTACGATTATTTAAAAATTTACTTTGCTTAGCAAATCAACTGTTAGTTTATTGGTCATCACTGGACTGTTCAGCATTAAGTCAAGGACAAAGTGAAGTTGTATTCAGAGTAATAAGTTGCCTGGATATGATTACAGGTTGGGATTTCTTACCACGTGAACGTGAGTTTATTGTACTATATTAATTTTAGATTTTATAACTATTCAGAATAACGTGGAATATATGTATACGGTAGTATTGTAATTAAAGTTACCCCATTTATTAGATGTCAGTCAGTCATTTATGATTAGAGTAGCTTGGATGATGGGTCAGAAAAGATTAGTGAAAAATATATACGTATACTTACAACATGTCCTGTGTTGAATCTGCTTTAAGAATCAAGTATCAGTCAGTCAGTCAGTCAGCTACAACGTGGGACCAGGCACATATATACATCAGTCCAAGTTGCCATACCTCGTTAGCACAACAAAGTGAACACTGGATTCATAGAAGTAGTTAATTCAGTGGTGGTAATATATAAAAGAGACATTGCGCATAATGACAGTACAGGAAGAAAGAACTAGTTCGTAGAAAGATATGAAGCGATTTTAATCTCATAGTTTAAAGGAAGACAGAGTGTGTATACACCTACGCCATTGTGATTGATTCTGAGCCATGTTACCCAGAGTCTCCAACCATTGATTGCGATAGTCACGCGGACCCCAACCAAATAGTCTGCATCTCCCGACATGGCTCAGACTAGGATTTGTTGACTTTGTGGACTGATGCCACGTTTTGGTTTAGCCACCCCTAACTTTCTTCCAACCGTCTCCAACACTAGTCAGCATTGCGCGTCGTGGTAATCGGTGGTTGGACATGCGTAGTATGTGGCCCAACCATTTCAGTTGATGAAGATTCACAACCTCATCAACTGATTTACCATCATTCCCTTATACTCTACGTCTAACCCCACTATTACTTACCCTGTGATATCAGCAGATGCCAGTAATATTTCTAAGACATCTGTGAATCAAGCATGTCACAAAATCTATCATAAGCTCTAATTATCGAAACTGGCATTGAAAGATTTCATAAATTTGCATTGTGTCTTACTCTAATTTTAATAAAATTTCTCACACATTCTACTACTGCAATCTTAATTGTTATTTACAATGTTTCAAAACAACTTTACTCTTATAGGATTTATAACCCATCCTAACGACTAGTTTGTCTCTAAACTTCAGAGTTCGATCAAAATCAGGAATCATAACATCTAGTTGCTATTTAACACAAACTCCAGAGTTGATGAACTTCACATGTCAATATTCGTTTATCTAACACATTTTATCTACTCAATATTTCCCCTACAATTTCTAGTTTTCAGCATAAATTCCTAACTTTCTTATTTACTCCAAAATTTCCTAATATGTAGGCGTACAAAACTTATAACTTCCAATTTCCTTAGAAATTTTCACAAATTTTTGTACTCATCTCACATATTTTCAGGTTCTCAAGTATTTTCTTTATGCGTTTTCTATTTTTTTTCTCTCAGTTATTCGTTTTCATGCCAGTCAATTAAGACGTTCTGATCAAGAAGCTCGTTTTCGTCCTAGTGATAAATGGAGTGATACGATGGGAACAGATGCTTTTCCGAGTACTTTATTACTATTTATTAAAGTAGGTAAACCGTTTTACTATGCTGAGTAATATTCTGTAAGATTTACTTACTTTGCGCTCATCATATGACGAAATTAAGCTTACACTTCATACGTACATATTCAGCAATTTTCCCATGGACATAAAAACATTTATTGTTCTGTCACATTCTCACTTCATAGTTTATCTATTTTTTCCCCAAGTGAATTTCCTATCAACGTGAAAGTTAAAATAATCCATTGTGTCACTGAATAAAAATAAAGAGAATTCAACAAAGAGAGTTTTCTTTTCGACGAAATCATTTTCTTCACTGAGTTCTCCTTATTTTTATTCAACGTGAAAATGTTCATTACAGTTTTCATCCATTGGGATCTGTCGACAATAAATGTAATTTGGTAACATTTTAGGCTCGTATACTGAGATGTATTAGTATCTAGGTTACTTGTGGAGAGGTTTTTAGTTTAATTGTCATCATGACTTTGATACATCTTCACTATGAAATCCTCTATTTGTGTTCTCATTTCTTAAAACTCACCCCTTCCTTCCAATAAAAGATCAAAGTTCCAAATCTTTAACTCAGCACTAGTTCCATATATATGACTGTCCTGTAAGTTTAATTCATGAATAGTAGTAGTGGTAGTAGTAATTCATCGTCTTATTTTCAGAACAAGTGTTTACAAGTAAATCTTCACCGTTCATTTTTCTATTTTATTGAGAATGCAGATGTTAATGACTACTTAATATAGTGATTTGATTAATGAAAATATTTATGCATATTATTTGCTGAACGAATGGCAGATCATTATAACCAAATAAGTAAAAAGCCTGGAAATCTTCTATGGTAATTCATTAGCATACTGGATACCTCTTCGACATTTCAAATGATGTATATTGAAATACTGTAACAATAAGGACATCCATTCTACTCTGTAGATTGTAAAAAACCCTCAAAAGACTGACTTGTGTGGTGTGGACTTCTTTTTTGGTCAGATCTTGTGCGTATTGATTACATATCTACTTTCCACTAAATGCAGGCCAACATATGTCGTCCCAGGAGCTTCGACACTGAGACTGAATGAAAAAAGCAAAGACGCGGTCATTTTATGATATGGTTCTGTATTATGAAGGGAAGTTGTATGAGAATAGGATCTGTCGTTTCATTATGACTCCCCAGTTGAGGTCTTAGAGATAGTGAAACTTCAGTTGCTTGAAGCGTTATTAGATGTGGCTCGAAATTGGAAACTGGCGGCTATCTTTCTGTACTGTATCTTTAACTGATCTGTATCTCTTAATGAGTGTTATTCCTATTCGTTTGTTTACTGATTTTACTGCTGTTTTCTCTTTTACTCTTTCACAATGTTATCTGTTTATTTGCATGGTGTATTTTTCGAGAGCTCTTGGATCAGTCAGAAGTGATCCAAAGGACTAGTGCCTATCATTGGCTAAGAAATGGATTGATTTTCTAAGGTTTATATATATGAGTATTTGTGCATATTATTCGATAGCCCAGTATGCTTTCTCATCCTCTCTTGTGTTCTTGCTCAAGTGGTCAGGTGTGTGGCGGGGATTAGCGTTTAGCACATTGTATATCAATATCAGATTTCGGACACCCCTCATCATGACAGTTCAATTTTACCAGAATGTATAATGATTTAAATAATTAAATGGATATGTGGACACAATTTGACAAACAATTAACACTTAACTTATGACTCACAAGTTGAATGCTGAACCTCCACTATTAGTAACTAAATTAAAAAAGTTGTTACGCTTGTTTTTGAGTAACTTTTTTAACTAACGCACATCATTGTCTATTTATGCCATTCTACTTGGTTAATTCTTATACTTTCTCATTAGTTACACACATGGGTTCGCGGTTCAGATCTGCTTGGTGCACGAACATTGTCATGTTTAGTTCGCTTCTCTTTAATGTCTGGCCCTCTGATTTATCCAATTTCTTCATTAACTTGTATAAATAATAATTCATCTTACCACAATGGAATTTCTTCATCAAATTATAATGAAAATCAATCACTGGGTTCACCAAGTACAATGCATTACCTAATACTAATTGAAAATTTAAATTGTTGGTTAGGAAAAGAAATACCTATGGAAGATCCCATACAATTATCATTCGAGTCGCTCACAGATCAAATACCAGGAATACGTAATGAAATATCTAATCGAATAGCAGATAGTCGTTCAATTCCAAGTATAACATTAGAAAATTTATTACCATATGAGTTATCTATCTTATCTGAATTCATACTTAATTTAATGTTGAATAGTTCACGTGCATGGGAACCTGTTGAACGAGTTTTATCATTGCCTAAATTCAGCTCACAAGAATCTTTATCTAGTGAAATATGCCAGTCTATGTTTCATATTGGTTTAATTAGTTTATGGGTGATGGATAAATTCTTTTCTTTTCTTTCTTCCCTATTAATACAGGTTAGTTTTTCTATGTATTATAGTTTTTTTATTTATTTATTACTAACAAGTTACTTGCCTTCTATTTGTGTATATATGAATAAAGATAAATAGGTAGAATAAAATCTACTTTCTAGAGAATTCTTGAGGCGCAGTAATCGAAAATATTCTCAAAATAAGGAAACACAAGGAGAGCTCTTTTATTTTTTCAACTTTACTAATGGTAAATAATGTGAGCCCTTGATTTTCTCCAAAGTAATAAAATAACCATTACATCATTTATCTGATATCTGGTTTAGTTATTAGTGTAACCCAGCGTTATTGTTATCTTTAGTAATAGTGTAGTGAACAAGAACACGGGTGGGGACAATCGAATTTATTTAACACGAAAATTACAGACTATTTCAATAAAATCGGAATACCATAAAGTCAATCGTCAATTTGCAAAAATATCAATGCATCATATCTAATTGAACTGTTTCCGTTGCAAACACCAATCCATTGTCTCCCGTTCCATTGTACATGCGTTTTCTTACAAATTCCATTGTGTTCTCGCTCTTTCTTTCTTGATCTTCACCTCATCTTCTGCTGCCAGACACTACGTTTTAACTCGCGTCATATACTACTCATATCAATATAAGTAGCTCACACAACAATAGTACTGTAGTGAACAAGAACACGAGTGGGGACAGTTGAATATATTTTGACATGAAATCACAGAGCATCTCACTCAAATCTGAGAGCCATATAGTAAATAGTTAATTTGCAAAATATCAATCTATCGTCTCAAACTTCACTGTCCCTTTGCAAATATCAATCCGTTGTCTCAGATTTCATTGTTCATGCATTTTCGTACCGATTGCGTTCCGTTTCCGTTGTTTCCTTATCGATCTTCTGCTAAAATACACTCTATGCCTGACCACCGTTATATACTACTGATATGGATATAAGTAATCCACACCACAGTACCATTTAAATTTGTCATCCTAAGCGAATCAACAAGATACTGATTTTTAAGTTGTGGTACAACTGTCCCATTGTAATGTCTTATTATACATGAGGCTTGGACCAGCCATATAGTTCAGTTTGGTGAATAATAATTTACTAGTTACTGGCAATTAGTTTGAAGACAGAAAAATTGTTGCTCCTACTATTGATGATATCATTTCTGGAGTTGCTTCGAAAAATCTGTCTTAAATTACCAATGAGTTCAGTCTTTTTAATTGCCCAGTATTTAGAACTTTTTAAAATGAGTTTTTTCTATAATTTTCCACTTGATAATCTTTATTTACATATTGCTACTTACCATCTGTCTTCCAGTGTATACGAATACAGACAGAATGTTCCACAGATGGAGATGATAATGGTCAGTTAGCTCATGAAGCTGTTGAACGTTTATTCAACTGTTGGAGTGATCTTCTTGATTTAATCCCATCATCGTTAAGTGAACAGGCACGATCTCAAAAGAATCACAATCTAACAACAATTGGTTCTACTGATGAAGATAATTCACCGTTGCCTTTAACTACTGGACAAGTACAAAACTCTGGTAATTCTTACATTGTTTATGTTATCTAGTTATACATCGTTTCGTTTTGATTAAATTTGATGTATTTTGGTTTTATTTCCAGTTTAAGCCATGTCTCGTGATAGTATGTGAAATAAAGATGATTGAAATAGCGAAACCTGGGGGTGGGAAGAGGTTGTTGAAATCAAACTCGCGATTTTCTGCTTTATTGATATTGTGGTTGAAAATCGAATCACTCGACGGACTACAGTTTTAATAAGTATACATTTTTTGATGGTATAGATGTCTCACTATCTTACCATTTAGGTATGGTCAAACGGATAATGGGTACATCAAGTAGTAATAATGTAACCAATGTAAACAAGACAATTATACAGTTACTCATAAGGAATATACTTAAGCAACACAAATCTGACATTGTGTAGTGTGGTTAGCTTTTCCATCTTACTTAATTCATACAAGAAGTTCGTCGTCTGGCCATATATTGTACATATTCAAACTATTTTAATTGTCACTGGATTTCTGTCTTTAAGTTTACTGACTGTTTATTCGTTTAACTACAATAAAAAACGAGTAGCGCTCTCAAGATATCAGTGACACAAAACACTTTATGTAGTCTTCTAAATGTAGATACTTTAGGTTTAAGAACAAGAATATATTACTTTATTGTTTTCAAACTTTCAACCGCCACGTTGGAAGTTTGAATGAGAGAAGTAAATTGTTTGTCTACCTGTAATATGTTTTCTCGAATTTTCAACAATATCTGTTTGTTTTACATATTTGACTATAGACCAGTTGGCTCAGAAAATGAAAAAGCTACTTGGATTGTTACGAAGTAGTAATTCATCACGACAATCACAATTATTCCAATTTTTCCTTGCATCCAAAATGGCTCAACCGGTTGGTTTACGTCGAACTTGCAGTCATGATAATAATGAAGAGATAGATCTTGAATTGGATGAAGATGATATGACTTCTTCAGAGGTAGCTGGTTTGAATCTCGGTGTTAGCATTTTATTCTCTTTGAGGATAGTTTTTTCGAGTTGATTAATCATTGAAGTTCTATAGGAGTTGTCTTAATCTATTCAACAACCATGTTTCACCAATACATATCTAGTTATCCTTTCAAGGCTAACCAAACAAAATATTTTCATTGCTTGGTGTTCACGTTAGCAAACTCTTTCCGATTTTGAAAATGATCCTAATACAAGTTTTAACGATTATTACAATGATAAGTCCTAATAAAGTGAACTAACTGTTTAGTATACAATAATTTATATTGATTATCCAAATATTGCTGGTTCATAACAGAAACAATCACCAATCTATTACGAGTATATATATATATATATATATATATATATATATATATATATATATAGTCTTTTTTAAAAAAAGGTTTTGTCACTTGTTGCAATTTCTGACGGAATGTTCAACAAATTAACCTTTTAACCTTCTACATTTTTTTTGTAAAATGTGATTCTCGATTAAATGGATCAACTTGAGTACTTGTGTTACTGGATTATAGCAGTAGTTGTTAGCTGTTAAATTGTTAGTTTATTTTTTTGCATTATCTCAGTCAATTAGTCAGTCAGTCGTACACAACATAATACCTGACACATTAGTACATCGGTTAAAGTTGTTGTAACCGAATTAACACAACGGACTAAAGTTTTTTCGAGACAAATCCCAGAGCAATAAGAATTGTAACAATATTAGTAATGTTAGAGGAGATTAGGTAAAGAAAAAAGAAAAAAAGTATGAAGAAATCTCGGGATTCAAATGTTCTTTTGCCTTCCTATTTTCCCTTTCCATTCATAACGCTAAATTAAGGCTTGCCTCATGATGTCCTCTACACCTCCATCGTCTTTTTCTAGTTTCCTCTTCATCTGGAAGTTGGTTTGTAATCTCCTACATTAGGCTGTTGCTCATGCTATCTATTCAATGGACATCCAGTATATAAATAAATTTATAAATACTTATGCCTTTTTGAAGATGGTTATGGTGGTTCACCAAGTTTCAGCTCCATACAGTAGAACTGTCTTGACGTTAGTATTGAAGATTGTGACTTTGATGTTAGTTGACAGTTGTTTTTAGTTCTATGTGTTGTTCAACCGTAGGAATGCTGTCTTTGGTTTGGCAATCCTCGCATTTACGTCTGCATCAGATCCTCCACGTTCATCTATGTTGCTACCCAGATACGTGAAACTATCTACCTCTTCCAGTGTTTCTCCATCAAGTGTGACTGGGTTGGTGTTCTTGGTGTTGTATTTGAGGCTCTTAGATTTTCCCTTGTGTATGTTGAGACCTACTGATGCAGAGGCTGCTGCTACACTAGTTGTTTTCATCTGCATTTGTTCGTGTGTATGAAGTTCAAATCCTTTAGTTACATCCAAATTGTCAATTGTTTTCCGTGCTTCTCTTCAGATGTGGAGGTTTTCATGATACAGTCAGCCGCCAGAAGAAAGAAAAGGGGAGAGATTAGGCAGCCTTGTTTGACTTCGGTTCTATATATATATATATATATATATATATATATATATATATATATATATATATATATATATATATATAATTATTATCCTATATTATGTCTGTGTACATTTTCATTCATTTTATTCAGGATAGTTTATTCGCTGTAGGATCTTGTGGTTTATCTACTCCTGAAGAATCAGTCACTACACTTGTTCGTTTAATAAATGAACGTGTTACCCAATTGATTCAATTACAAAGCTGTGAATCTTTAAAATCAATTGATTTATTCGAAGATATTCATTGGTTATTATTGATTAGTGGACATTTTCTTGTCTCTGGTCCTGCATCATTAACAAGTGTTCTACGAATGGGTTCTCCATGGGATACACAATTCTCAGTAAGTTTGTTAACAGTTTTCATCATTATTACTATATACTATATAGTATTAATTAAATTATGAAATTCGATTCAAGTACATTCATTAAGTGTGACTTTGTAAAATGTCTAAAAATACCTTATTCATATTTCCTTTTTACTAACAAATTGGTTTAACTAATCCTACCCGGTTTCTAACTTGTGAATTAAATTTCAATTTATATCAATTATTAATCTGTACAAGATTTACTTAAGATCAGTATAGGGTTGTGGAGATTATTAAGTTTTTGGTTGAGATCATGAACTGATTGATGTCAGACCACCATTAAAAACCTGGAAGCACTGGACAACCGTTTTGTCCTATCGTGGAGCTCCTCAGCCGTGCGCATCCACGATTCTGCTCGCTGGATTCGAACCCAAGACTTTCCGTCTCGCGCGCGAACGCATAGCCTCTAAGATATAGATACGCTTGATAGAACTATCAAACTTTACCTACTTGACATGTATATCGTATTTTATGTATAAACAATTAATATTCTCTTGTTTATTTATTTTCTTTCATTTAATTTTGTTCAGATACCTCATCAAATTTTATATCTTGGTTCTAATGATACAGTTGATGTGATAAATAGTCGTCGTTTAATATTAATGTCTATTGCACAATGTCCTGATATGAATAGTAGTTGGCCTCCAGACAATTTACCATATACACAGATTCCTTCTTTAATAATGTATGTTTCATTTGTGTTTTTTTCATAAATACTTTTATTTTGAAAGAAAGAAAAGGACATTTTTATTATTCCTCACTGGATGTTTAACGAATTTTTTAAACAGTTGATGTTAGAATCAAGGAAATTAACAATACAATTTAGGAAACCAAGTTATCTTAAACATATATATGCTTGTTCCCCCCTTCAAGCCAAACAATTTGGTGAAGCCTATTAGGCCCTTATGGAGAGAAAACATGCCACATCGAAACACGGCACAACTACCGGGGCTAGAATAGCTGTTTTTGCAACCAGTTAGAGTTTGCTCCGTAAGGAGCAACCCCGTACATTACTTTCATCACTTTTGTCAATTTTTTGTCGTTTCTCCATCCAAGAGTAATTATGCTGTGTTTCTTTGTGGAGTTCGTAATCGGTTTGCGGGTATCGGTTGAGTGGGTGATTAGCCTGATCTCTATCACCCGGGTTACCGCTCACGTTAGTTCATGGGTCATCCGTTCCACGATCCAGGTACGACGCGGACGTGTGAGCCGAATTTTGCTTCCTATATATATGCTTACTTATGCATATTCATTCACTTATGTTATTAATCATATAAGTGATTTGATTACTTTAAAAAATATTTCCTCATTCCATGAATTCATATTTGCTTTTAAAATCATCTCTTCTGTGCTCTGATCGTTTCTACTATCACTAATGCTATTACTGCTCAGATCACTTTGACATCTTGATGTTTTGATACAATGCGGCAATTTGAATCGACGCACATATATCTCAGCTTCTACGTTCTTTATGTTTAACTGACATAATATTCTCTAATTTTCTTTTATAATAGAGTATTATTACATCACAGCAGCAGTAAACAAAGATTGTACAATGGTTTCATCTATCCATTTATAGCTGTCATACTGGCTAGAAATTCTCACATAGTTATCAGCTTGTAAATTCAGTAGCTCTGAAATGATATCCAATCTAAATTTAATTGATAGAATACTTAAGATCTTGCCATTATTACCTAAATGGTACTCATTCCTTATAGACAGAAAAGCAAAACAATATCGTAAACATGAATAACTAGTTTATCAATTTAGTTTGTCCTACTAATTATGTCTAGTTTTAATCCATTCACAATATTGCACAACCGTCATTCTTGAGATAATTTTTCTTCACACTTTACATAGCCGAACTTTACTGATCTCAGCGTGTACATCATTAGATGTCGGCTCTGTCGTCTAAAGATTAGGAGTTCATTAGTTTTACCGAAGGTTTTGGGTCCAATTTTCCGGACGCGAGGTCGTAGACAGGCACTATTGAGTTGTCTCATACTAGAACAAGACGGCCGTCCACGTTTTGAATGGTGGTCTAAGATCAGTTCGTCATGTAAACTTTGGAAATTCTACAATCTCCACAAATCTCTCTCTCTCCATATATATATGTAATATTACTTATTTATTTTAACACTTAGATATTGGTACAAGGAGGCACAAAATACATATGCGCCACACAGATCTCATTTGATATATGTGAGGGCTGTGATACCGTCCGGGTGCCCAAACCGAAGCAGGATATATATATATATATAATTAAGAAAAGCGTCTTTTTAACCAATAGATTTTTTGTTTCACAGTTATGAACAATTTGTTGTCTCATAAAATTATAAATTTCGCATTCAAGTTAGATTCGAATACAACGATTAAACTAGCTATGCTAATGAGACTGAAGATTTAATTTGACTAGCAGATTATGTTACGAAATTAGTAACTGTGACCTCTATTAACTCCGCAGCAGTAAATCTGGTTAATCTTATCTCGAAATGATTTGCTTCACTTGACAAATATCTTTTTTCTCATGTTTTATTAATACAAATATTTATAATAGCCCATTGTATCGGCTTAGTTATATACGATGATAATGTGTCAGTCATGGCCGGTAAGAGTAGAGGATATCCGTAGGCTACTAGTATTTGATCATAGGTGTCTTCGAAACATTGCTCGTATATCATGGGACCATCGAGTAAGTAACGCAGTTGTTAGGAAACTGGTACTAGGTAAGGATGGCAAATCAATTGATGAAGTAGTGAAACTTCATCAGTTGAGATGGCTGGGACACGTGTTACGTACGTAAGTGATTAACATAGACTACCCATCCTTTTAAATGGTTAAATTGGATAGTGTTAGTTAAAGGGATTCTTTCATAGTTCAACTTCTCTAGGGCTGAATTTCATTAGTTTGTTTGTTAATGAAATAAACCAGACTCTATGAACCAAATGAAATTATGTTTTTCGTTTTGTTTTGTCTCTTTTCTCTTACTTCCAGTTTGTTATGTTCTCTCTTCCGTCTATTATGGTTACAAGCTGCTTATGGTGTTGGGAGTGCTCAATTGGTTACGGATAATTTTTGGTTAATGACACGTTTAGCTGTCACATATTTCTGCCATAATGTAGTCGATCGGGATACATTAATGGTTAGTATATTGAATTGTTGTATCTCTGCTGACAGATTTATTGAAATCCGTAGTTCAATATCATTAATTAGTTTATTCATTGCAGTCGATTGATCTGATAACTTGATCCCTAGGTTTTGTAAAATTTTGATGCCGTATTGTTTATTGAGGTTTCTGATCAGTTTACCTACTGACTGGCTTGGTTTCTTGAATTATTTAGCATTCTATACATCTTTTTCTATTTTCCTCAGTCAAATAAGATTTGATATGACGGATAGATTTAAATGTTTTTATTTGCGTTATACTACGTTCCTATGATTGTACGGTAATAAGATTAGGCTGAATGATCGAGTTTATAATACTGCTAGATCGGATGCTCGAACGATCCGCTATGCACTGTTGTAACGTGTGGACTGCAGGTTAGATGCGCAGCGTTTTATTGATCGATTCAGTGACACGGAAAACACATACGGACGGCCTAGAGTTTCGATTGGTCCCGCTTCCATGTCTAGCCCAGCCAGTCGAGTCCAGAACACAAGTCTTAGCCTCTGAGATATGGATCATTATATTTCAGACACACTATTTATATACCAATCAACCAGACCACATCGTACCATAAAATAGAAAACAACATTTTACAGTATTTAACAAGTGAAGTAAACATTGACCAACAGGGAGTGTACATTTAAAGTCCAAGGCCACCATTAGACTTAACATGATAATTATTGGTATATTTTTCTGCACATCCTAACAGCACAGACTAGATCTCGCTACATCAGATGCACGATTCACGACCAAAAATAGAGTATCAGAGTACAAACTAGGCACTAATTTATTCCACGCAATTACAAGCAATCACTCCCAGTAAGTTCAGAGTACAAATCAATAAGAGGAAAGGAAATCGCACATTTAATAGCCAGTAAGCTGCGTTCCTCTTTGTCCACACTCAATGACTAATCACATTTACTCTCACTACCAAATATTATAGATAAATTGCTATTATTTCCTTTTTGGAATTTTGTGCTACTCATGTTCTGTAGTTTATCATTAGTCTTTCATTAATTTTCAAAAAAACATGTTAACTCATCAACTTCATCAACAGGTTTATGTACTGAAGTTTGGAAGTTAGTGAAACTAACCGTCCGTTTAGACCGAACTAGTTGAAATTGTTTTTGAACCTGAAACCTATAACTCAGAAACCGATTGCTTTGACACTACTAGACCATCGTGGCAGGGTGTTGTTTACGAAAGTTAATAGAAGAAGCGAGAATGTTTAGTGCTTAAACTGAGTTAGTTGTGGATACACAGGATTCATCTTTGGGAGTTGGGAAATCTTTACTATAAGGACCAATGTTGTGCATTAGTTCCTGTATCCTGAAGGGCCGAATAACAGATGAACCTATTTTTAGTCACTGACTACCATCTCGTGATCTCACTCCACTCCGTTATGGATTTTACATCTACGTAAAAGGCTCGAAGTGGCGTTCTGAAGAAACCACCCACTTCGGTTTGGGTACCCGGGCAGTATCCTATTCTTCAAACAAATTTTATTACTATGAATATATGGTCCGTACTATTTTTGGTGCTCATTTGTACCAGTTTCTCATGTGGATGAAATACATAAATAAAAAGTATCATAGCGATATTTTACTTCATTCATGAAATATTAAGTTTTAATTCTCTTTATCAGTGTTCTTTATTTGTTATGATCTGTTATAGTCTAATATTTCTCGATCACCGATCATGACAATACTTCAAGCTGAATCTGTTCACCCATTACCAGCACATCAAGGTGTATTTTTGTCAAATAAAACATATAACGGAGAAAATCAACTTTCAGAGAGAAAAGAAAATCTATTGCCAGAAAGTTGTAATGATATAAATCGAGTTTGTATTCAAGGTTTATTAATGTGTGTACGTTTAGCATTAGATAAATGGTCACACGAACCCCAAGCACTAAGTTCACTAACGCGACTATTGAGTGTGCTCAGTTTGCATTCACCTAATTCGTAAGTGTCACTAATTTTTATGGACTGTTTTTTTAATGCTATTTACACTTACTAATCAAGAAAGTCAATCAAACCTTTGTCGAGTTTCGTTCTCCGACCCAGTATTCTTCTTTTGCTTATTATTCCTCGAACACTTTACTTCACTCTACCCGTTCCCGAATTCAAACATGGCTCTGACAAGAAATTGATTATCTTCTAAATAGAACAAGTTAAACTAAGATCATTCTATAAGAATATGTTAATGTATTTATAATTTTTAAACAGGAAGACTCTAGGGTCTTCGCTTATCCGCTGTAGTTGGCGGGTTAAAAATAGGTCAGTCAATGTGTTACAACGTGCTCCTGTCTGGAACATACTTTAGTTAAGTTTCTGTCTTACCAATTCTTCGATTTGAGCAGATTCATGGGATCTGTTGTTAGGGTCATCTTGGATCAAAGTAAAGAGTTTGTGCCTTCAAAATGTCCACCTTCCAGGCAATAAGGAATTGGTATCATCCTTTTTCTTTTCAATGATTGGCTTCACAGTTTCCAGATATTTCGATCTCGAAGGTGTCTAACAGAATATCATTAGGTTTTCTAGGTCGGTCTCGTTGTTCGTTATCGAATTGCTTTAATTTGCTTTCCATTACGTATCAAATATTATATACGTATTAACTATATCCATTAATCGTTTTCATTTTTGTATTTTCACTAAGCTTCAAATCTGTTTTTCAATCTCATTGCACTAAGCACTTATTCGCAAGCTTTTGTAATAAGCTAAAATATCCACAATAACCAAGCTTTATATTGCGTTTCACCAAACTTTTTTTGTAAACTAATGTAGTGTTGAATTAAATAGTAACTAGAATGGATAAATCCCTGTACATACCAAGGATGATAGGAAATAATATCTTCGCTTGACAAGATGAAAATACTGATAGTCAATATTTCATTCGACTATTTTAATGTTGTTTTATTGTGATCCTAAACTAAAATGTTTGTGTTATTTCACATATATTTACCTCCAAAGAAGTCATATATAAAGAGCTACTGAACAGCTATTTCTATTTTCACAGTTCTCACTAGTTACTAGGCCGATTTCAGTTCGTTCTTTTAAAAAAAATAGGGATTGAATAATAATCACTAGCTTACCTAACTTTAATTTTAAAGGTTAAATTGATAGTGAATTTTTACCTTTACTATTTCTTTTAACCTCAGAATATATAAATTCCATAATCGAATTTCAAATAATCGAAAATGTCGTCTTAATATCGATCTATTCGAAAATACTATCGACTTGAACATATCAAGAACTGACTAATAATTGTTTCTCCCTAGTTCAATATTCTTATTCTCTAATAAAAAGACTATTTTATCCTGATGAAGCATTATTTTTGCTGTATAGAGGAGGTTATATTGCTTGTCGCATGTTAAGGAAAGACCAAATGACCCATTTCTGTATGGATTGTTACATTATTCTGTTGCAGCCAGTCCATTTTCTTCAGTTAAGTTTGTGTCGTCCAGTGTATGTTTCTAATTGTTTATTTGGTCTAATGTATGGTGATATAGTCAGTAAGGTAGGTGGTTGGAGGTAGTCAATAGTATATTCTGAACCTAGGTTTCATGCTATTTGGCACTTATCGGTGAGGTATACCTTTAATCTTGAGGGAACTGATGCTCTTCATCAGATTCGATCTCATGTCAGCCAGGTTCATAGTTAGAGACGTTGCCATTGAACTATTCTGGCGCAACTGACCTGTAGGGTTAGTGTATTCGGTAATAGTAGTAGTAGTTTCCCTGTAATGATTTAACTAAAATTAAAAGCCCTAATGGTTACTCTATTCATTCGTTTTTTTTCTTGAGTTAGATCATCTGATTTAGCTTGTTCCGCGTGGTATGACATATGTACGCTTGTCGCTGGTCCTCAGGCTTCAGAACACACATGGCCTAATTTGTCGACAGATAGTTTAATTCAATTAGTTGAAGCCTGTTTATGCGGTAGTTGGGCAATTGATAAAACAAAACTATCATCATCGGCATTAGTTCAGCAGCAGCATCAAAGTAATGAAGATGTCTCCGATACTTTGCTGCTTCAGGTATATGTTTTGTTCTGTTTAGTTTTACGGTCATTTCTGTAGTTAGGTTGACTCTCTGAATATAAATCAATAGGTCATTTCTGTAGTTAGGTTGACTCTCTGAATATATATCAATATTAAATGATAAGTTTATGAATCAAACTTACGATGACATAACCGTTGTTTTCGTTTTTCTAGGTTGAGTGTTGTATATGACATGGCTGGCTTCAACGAATGTAACACTTTAGTTATGTATTATAATTATTTGTCCATAGGGTTGTAGTGGTTTATATTCGAGATAATTCCTAAGTCTTCGTGTATATCTCTCGTCCCGATAGTCGTTATAAAATAACTAACTCCCGATGGTGTATAAATTTCAGAAGACAACACAAAGCTTTGACTACAGTTTATTATTATAGAGAGCAGGTCACAAAGCCACAAGCACACAAAACAAATTTGAGTAGAAACGTGAATAGTAGCGGATTAGGACGAATGCATTGATAAGATTTAAGAGACAGAGAGAACCATATATAGGTAAGAGAATGATTCATCGAGCTATTTAAGTAATAAGAGGGATTTGTGTAAGCTGTAACATGTGACTAAGGCTACACGCTCATGCAGTCACGATAATAATAATAATAATGTTAAGATATAGACATATCGTTACTGTTCTGATGACACTACGTTAATTGAAGGGCTTAACAAGGTCGAACGTATACAAGCTCAAGTGTTAGTGAGGTGCTATAGTGTTTCACCTGCAGCTTATACACACGTTTTGTTTAATCCACAGTTGAGTTGTTTTTGTAAGCAGTTAAACAAGTGATAATAATCTCAACGAGATAAGCATCAAAACACATTGTTCTTAACCGACTTTAATTCATATTTTTCCTAGTTCCTCGAGTTTATATTGTTTCAATATCTTGATGTGTTTATCAAATAGATTCACGCCGAAATATGAATCGTCAAATTTGAATCTTATTTATTTGTTTCATTTCGTCCCGAATTTTAGCTTATCCGCGAGATTCGAGAACATGTTCTTCGTGTAATCAATGTTCTTACCCATGATGAAGCGTCTTTCAGTTCACTTCAAGATTCTACATCCACTAATATGTTGGTTAATTGTACAGCTGTTTTAAGAGGTGTTTCACGTGCTGTAGGATCAATAGCAACAAACAGTAACTCAACTACCGATTTAGTTTCATTAGTTTGGAATGGTCTTTTAGGTCCATTCTTATCACATAGTGCAAATTATTTAGTGTTGGTAAGAATATTACCTAGTACTCATGTTTTTCTTCTTTGTCTGTATATTTTATGTAAATGACTTTATAACAGTGGATTTGAGTAAAGTTGAATTTTAACAAAGTAATTTAGCTGACCTAACCACCGTCGGAAAAAATATCTGATAGATTAAGTTGTGTAACAAAATGGAATCGGTTAATTTTGAGTGTTCAAATAGACATCTTTAGTGGCCCGTTTGATCTGACTCCTATTTAGATTGTACGAATGTTTGCTATCGCTGATTCTCGTATATCATAGTCGACTTAAATCACGTTAGTCAATAACGTAATTTAGATAAGTCAATTAACGAGAATGGCCTTTGAATACATTTATTTTGTATGTAAAGTGAATGTAATAGAACAGAGCAAAATGACACGCAGGGAAGATGGCTGGGAAGCCAACTCCATTTTAGTCAAGCGTTACTCAATATTTATAGTCAGACAAAATAAAGCTACAGACATGTGATCAATGGAATAAGAAGGGCACACACATATACGCTCATATAAAAACAGTCTAGATTGATAAGCGAATAAATAACAAGGTCCAAAGTACGGCTCGAGTAGAATGAATAGAATGGGATGTCCGGAAGCTAGAATAAGGTATATGGGCTTGGCATAATAACTGACACTACACATCTTTGTTTCCCTCCATATTGTTTCAAACATTTATTATTGTATACTATGTTTAGAGAAGAGTTTGTGGATTCACTAATAGTCAAGACAATTAACTTCTACATTATCTTATCTAACATTAACATGTTTGATTAGTTACACTAAATTATTGAACTGAATGAAATATGTGTAGTCCCAAAATACACGAGCAATGCTTCAAAGACACCTGTGATCAAATATTAGTAACCTACATATATCCCCTATTCTTAATGAAATTTTATTTCTTTAGATTTTCTACATCCAGTAAGACGCAGACAAATACGTGCTCAAACTAGAGCATGATTTGAGTCTGAACATGTGTTTCAGAATGAGTTACAGTCTCTTATCGAAACCCTTTAACAATGTCTGATAGCAATTTAGTCTTTTTAAGTCCATCGCTAAATTGATTACGGAGTTCGCCACGTCAGATGATGTTTCTTCCTATATCTAAAGTTGGTGTTTGCTGGAAGCAAACGCTTGTTTGAACATAGTTGCAGTACACGGTAGCCATTATCTGTTCTCTGTGCTGCGACACCATTAGATCCTCTCAAATGCCTTTCGGTTTGATTTAGTCTATTTGCTTTTAACATACTTCATGATCCAATTCTGTTATTATTCCAATTGATCTATGTTCTTTTTCCTGTTCTTTTCAATTCAACCTTCTTTTGTCGTACATTCCACTTATATCTACAAGCATAGGTAGCACCCACCATATATATAGACTTATCGTGAAATCAAATTTACGAATTAAAACTAAATAAAGCAATGACAATGAGCTATAAAAATATATTTATTATTAAATGAAGTAATATTCTTATAATTTTTATTAACTTGTTTACACCACACGGTTTCATATTGAATAAAAGTCGAGAATAGATGCGGTCATGATATTTATCCTAGAAATTCTAACAGGTAATGTGTATCTGGTGAAGAAGTACAAATTTCTCTTGATTGAACACTCGGACATTCTTTAAAAAAGAAACGTATCATTCATAATTTGCTTGGTCCCTGACGATTTTCTCTCGCTCTGTGTGTGTCTAATTGGAGCATAGGTTTGATAATGTCGATTTTCAGATGGCTGAAGGCAAACTATACTTTGTAATGCATAAACGTTTTATTACACATTCCATACGAATAGGAGAATTATCGTAGATTGTTTGACTTTTCTCTGGAAACCGACTAATTCCTAATGAAATTCCTTATCATCACAGAAAATCAGTTATTTTTATTGATGAATTTTCAATTTGTCGTATTCAAAGTAGATTTATATAAACGATGCAAGTATCTACTTTAACCTTACAATGTGTCATTCTTATTTTCCATGCTTCATTTTTTAGTACTGGAAAATATTGTCAATGTAAAACTCAATATTCTAAACTGTAATTTCATAATTTTCACTTGTTTGATTCTTGAGTAGTACAATAAGGTTACTTACTAATTGGAAGTTCACATATGCATCTATACTGTGTTATTTTGATAGTCTACATCACAGACTAATCTTAGACAAACACGTTGAAAGAAATCTAGAAAAAACCAAATAAGTTTTGTAAGCAATGATAGATAGTGGCTAGCAGTGGAATCCAGTTTGACACGCGTTTTGTTCTATTTGGGACTCGTCAGCTGGATGTACCTGCATCTTAGAGTTGATGTTCACTTTGGAACTCGAACCCAGTACCATTCACTTCAAATGCCATCGCGTTATCCACTCAGCTACTGAGTCCTGATAGCCACTTGCTTGTGTAAATAAGTTTTTTTTCGTATGAGACTCTTTTAACTGTGGAAGTCATCGATGATTCCACAAAAATAACAGACTTAATACATACATTCAAATCGACCAGTGAGTTTTTATCCACCGGTTTATATGATGTTATTCTGCAATTATGATTGTTTTCTTTTTCACTGTTTTTGTTGTTATGTGTGATGTTTCTTGTTTTTGTTCTTAATTCATAGAAATGTCATAATTATTCAGAAGCTTTACAATCATTATTCTCTTTATTCACTGATGTTGCTGATTCCTGTCTGATTTATTTGGCCGGTCTTCCATCATCATCATCATTTTCAGAATCATTATTGAATAATGATTCTACAGTTGTACAATCATCATTGGAAACAAATAATGAAACTAGAAATGGTTGTGCTACTCCATATGCTTCTGGTTCATTTTTAAATTGGACAGTTGTTCTATGCAAACATTATACTAAAATTACACAAGGTAAATATCCACGGTCTCAATCTAGGTAGATATAATTAGTGTTCTGTTCTTTCAAATTGTTAGTGTTGTGTTAAATTGTGCTTGGTCAGAGTAAACTGTCATTACATTTTATTTAGTTTATATTGTCGTTCACTGTTGTCAGTAAACGATTAATGTTTATATTATAATTGAGTTAAAGCTATATGGTTTCAATATAACAATGGAATATGTGGAATATGTGAAATTATCTCCAACCAAACTTAAACTATAACCCACCCCATCAATAACTCTACTCAATCCTCAAAAAAGAGTGCAAAATTGTTATTATCATTCGAACTATTGAAAATATAGTGTAAAACGCATAGGTGTTTAAGTAGTGTCTGCTTTTTTTTGGGGGGGGGGAAAGGATATCATTGAGAACTAGTCATTATAATTCTGGGAGTCAGATTTAGTCCAAATTCTTGTAAAAATGTTTCATTTACCAGTAAGTAACCTAAAATATCGTGATGTATGTAGTGTGGAGTACTTTTAAGTAGATAAGATGTCCCAGTTATTCTTTTTTAAATATTTAATATTGACTTTCAAGTAAGTTATCTATCATTCTGCTATGATGATCTAAACTATTCATGTGAATACCTGAATTACACAGTACATGGATAGGGGTATATATTAGTTTTTTCTGGAAAGAATGATTACATTTCAAAGAAATATTTGTTTTAATTTCTACCCTGAAAATGGTATATTTAGGTTTGTCATTGAAGAAAAGAAATCTATCATAAAGTGTCAGAATTTGCATTAGATTTCTCATAACTGTAATGTAACTTAAACAACTTTCCCAAAAAAATCGGAACTAAGCTGGTTACTTCTGTTTATCGACCTCGTGAATAATTCGTCTGAATTCAAATCAACAGATTGGTTGAAAATAGCAACTGATTATTCAAATTGTAATCAGCTGGGTACATTTATGTTTATGTGAAAGCCATTGTATAGTTAATATATATTCGAAAAATTATTGCATGACTAACAGTGGTATATACCTTCGAAAAATTTATATATTTAACCATTATATGGAAGTGAATTTCCTTATTTCATTGGTTTACATGTTAAAGTTGGAAAATGTTATAACTTGTGATCGCCGATAGAGAGAGCAGTGACTTATCGATCGGACCAAAGATACGTAAAACACGTGAGAATAGCCTAGAGTTCTGATTAGCCCTGTTTTCCGCCTAGCCCAGCCAGTTAAGTCCAGAACACCAGTCTCAGCCTCTGTAATATGAATCATTATATTTCAAACATACTGAGTTTATATACCAATCAAACAGACCACATTGTACCAATAAAATATGAAACAACATTTAGTTACCTAATAATTATACGATAGAAATATACGTATAGTATTGATCCATAGATGGATCCCAACGTTACCATTCATTGTGTTCCTCGGGTCCTAACAGAAAACAATAAATCGGTACGTGCAACATCATCTAGTGTTTTTATTGTTTCACATCACTAGGTATTGTCTATTTTTTAAAATACTTTTTCATTATCTAATAGTCATATGAACTTAGTGGCTAAGTGAATAACACGTGAATATTTAAAGTGAGAGGTAGGTGTCGAGTTTGGATTTCATCATATGAATATCAACATTGAAATTCAGGTGCATCTTCTAGCAGATAAGTCCTACGCAAAACGAAATACTCATTCAGAATTCGAATACTGGTCCACTATTCAATAATAATTAATTTCATTTTAAGTATTCACATTAGTTGACACTTTTTACTTTACTAATATTATGAATAAATTGTAGGTAAATTAAATTTTGAAGCGACAGCTGAAGATGATCAAATTCAAGAACTTCAACTTTTACTTAATCTCCTAAATCGTGTTCTTTATCATGAATTTGAATTAAGGCTTAGTGGCGCTATAGTTTTATCTCGGGTTGATAATGAACTAGTTATTCAACCAGATTCTATGAATTCTCAAGATGCAACATGTAGTACTATTCCGACAGTTGATGCAGCCGTTATTGGTTTAGGACATTTACTACCGTTAATAACAGAATCTAACTTGACAGTAGGTTTTTTCTTATTTATCTTTTCACTGCTTATAATACATTTTAGTAGTGTAGTGAATTTTAAACGTAATTGTCAGATCTTATCGTTAACTTGATACATTGACTTCATATTTATGCTTTAAAAGTTGTTGACGGTTACATTTTAATCATGAACCGATCTAAGTTAGACTATAATTAAAGGTTTCAAAGCACTAGATGGCTGTTTCATTCTAGTATGGGACTACTCATCAGTGCACATCCACGACCTCTCAAACGGGGATCAAATTAATTGAGTTGACACATTGAAGCTTAGAGAATTCAAACATAAAAATTGGTGATATCAAATAGAGAGGAGAAACAAAAATGAATAGTTTTGACGTGCTGGTGATGCCTTTTGAATTGAATTTCTCCAATACTATTCACGTTAAATCACAGCCTGCAATTAAAATACTCCCAGTACGAAAGACTATTATCAACTTCAAATAACTTGCATAGCTATTCAAACTATCTTCAGTTTGACATAGAATGAATGAAATGTGAATAACAGTAGAACCAAGGACACACGTGCCGTCCCGTTTGGGATTCTTCAATCGGGTTAGTTGTGAAGAACGAAACGTGAGTCCTGAATTCCTCTGCTCATCGCATTCCATCTATTCTATATTAATTTGTGTCATAGTGTCTACATCGAGTTAATCTACACAGGATGCATATATGCCAACCAAGACTGATCAAATCCAGTCGAAATATCAGCAAAGGGGTAATCCGAACCATTTAAAATTGACTTAGATCTCCTATTTAATTTTCGAGTCGATTCGTATACTGGTTATGAAGGAAAACACCAAGTAGTATTTACTTGAGTTCTTAGTATACTATTAGTTAGGTTTTGAATTCATCCAAAGTTGAAAATTGACCGTATTTTTTCTACTGTGTAATTGTATTCTTCACAAGAACTTGTACACAATCCATTGTTCTATGTTTTCCATACCGACACAAAAGTCTAGTTGGAACTTTCCCTCTCCCATCAATTGCTTCTTGTATGATAACATTCAGGATTGAATTCCACAAAAATATGTAGCTAAATTAGCTTTTCATTTTTTTAAGAGATGAGATTTACAAGTTTTATTCAATTTGCCATGTCAAATTCAAAGTTGATGGGAAAATCTGAGAGGGTCTACTTAAGACGTTTAATAAAACTGGTTTCTCCAACTCCCGATGCGATTTACTTGAGTCACTCGTAGTCGTTCTCTCGTTCGTCTGCGAGTTTTTTGTAATCATTTGTGGGTATAGGTAGAGTGAGAGGTTACCTCAATCTGTACCATACGGTTTTGCTGCTTGCTTTTGCTCATGGGAAATAAGATCACACACTAAATAGAGAGTACTGTACGTAGGTACAAGTCGGGCTTTGCCTCCCATCCTTTCAGTAATGAATCTTTTCTATTCGTGTTGATGAAGGCGCATATATATTTGGCGCACTCCTGTACCAATATATATGTGTTCAAATAAATAAATAAACTTTCACCTACTAAATTGTATGTTCAAACGCTGCTCCACCTACTTTGGTTTGAGCAATCGAGAATTAATATTATTAACCATCGTATCCATGTACTTGGTGAACAAGTTAGTTATTAATTATTTTGTTATTAGTTCTATAATGCTTCAGATAGTCGTAATTAGTGTCTTTGTGTGCCAACTTTTGTTTTTCAGATCCCAGAATTATGTCAAGCATTTTATTCGTTAGCCTCTTATGCATGTGAATTACGTCCTCAGGGATTCATCCGACTTACAGACAATCAACTTACATCTTTTGGTCGTCTTCTTCGATTTGGAATATTTGGTGTAGAATTTGATCAATCAAATCACATTAAATCTTCATCTGCCTCACGATCTGCATCATGTTCAGCAGGATGTGTTGACAATTCAGTGGTTCAGCAATGTTTGGATATTATAATTTCATTGACTGATCATTTTTTGGAGATTAGATCACGTTCTCGTTCTTGTCCTGTAGAAGAGCTTCAAAATGCTATTCGTTTGATCAATGTTATCGGTTTGAATACACAATTCCTGTCTGACTTATTCACATTACTAACAAGAGAAAGTTATTCGGTCAACTTAGAAGCATCATTTTCATCTGCACTCCTTAATTTAATTCATTTAAGTCCGGTAAATAGTTGTTTTGAGTTTTGCGATTCGACGATATTGAATGATTATTTTATAATTGGTTTTGTTTTTTCCTTTACTTATAAACTAATCATCACTCAAGATTGTTAAGATTAGCTAATCGTCCTCGTTAGCCTTACAAATTGATAACGCATACCTGGCTATTTATATGAATGTTGATAATAGTTTACAAGTTGTGTGTAGGTACTCTATTTTGCATAGCCATGTGTATACACCCTTTTATTTATTACTGAAAGAATATCGTGTTTTTACTTAATTACGCCTGTTACTCCTCGTTGAGGAGCATAGACCACCCACCATCACTCTCCATCCAACACTGTCCTGAGCAATCATTTCCAGCTCCTTCCAGTTGTTATTCATACTTCTCATATCTGCTTTTATTTCCCGACCTAATTTGTTCTTTGGCCTTCCTCTTTTCTGCTTCTCTTCAGGATTCTAAGTTAGCACTTGTTCTGTGATGCAGTTTGATGATTTGCGTAATGTATGTCCTATCGATATCCCTCGTCTTTTCCTAATTTCCTCTTCAGCTGGAAGCTGGTTTGTTATCTCGCAGAGAAGGCTGTTGCTGATGGTATCCGGCCAATGTATGTTGAGTATCTTGCGTCGACAACTATTTATAAATACTTGTACCATTTTGATGATGGTTGTGGTAGTTCCTGAAGTTTCAGCTCCATACAGTTGAACTGCCTTGATGTTCATATTGAAGATTGTGACTGATGTTGGTTAACAGTTTTTTTGAGTTCTATATGTTGTCCAACCGTAATAAAGCTGTCCTTGCTTTGCCAATCTTTGTCTTTCCTTCTGCATCAGATCCTCTACGTTCATCTATGATGCTACCGAGATACGTGAATCTTTCCACTTCCAGTGTTTCTCCATCAAGTCTAACTGGGTTGGTGTTGTGTGTGTTGAATTTGAGGATCTTGGCTTTTCTATTGTGTATGTTGAAGCCTTCTGCTGAAGATGCTGCTGCTACACTAGTTGTTTTCATCTTCATTTGTTCGTGTGTATGGAATTGGAGGGCTAGGTCATCTGCTAAGTCCAAATCATTGAATTGGTTCTGATCTGTCCATTGTATTCCGTGTTTTCCTTCAGATGTTGAGGTCTTCATAATCCAGTCGACTACCAGAAGAAAAAGGAAGGGAGAGAGTAAACAGCCTTGTCTGACTCCGGTCCTTACTTGGAATGCATCTGTCAGCTGTCCTCCCTGCACGACCTTGCACTATAGTCCGTCGTATGAGTTCCGGATAATATTGACAATCTTCTCAGGAACTCCGTAGTGTCGAAGAAGTTTCCATAACGTTCTCCTATCTACACTGTCAAATGCCTTTTCATAATCAATGAGGTTGATGTATAGTGACGAGTTCCACTCAACTGATTGTTCGACGATGATCCGTAGTGTTGCAATCCGGTCTGTGCACGACCGATCCTTACGGAATCCAGCTTGTTGATCTAATATCGTGTTCACACCAGTAATCTCTTCGGAGGGTAATTTTATGTAGCTCATTCACTGATTGCCAATTCATTTTCTGAGCTGTGAAACACTTTTTCCTTAAGGGCTATTATTACTACACTGTTTTTCAAATCAAACTAGGTAGAACAACTGGGTTCGAATCTATAGTTCAATTATTCGATGTCAACCATACCAACCACTAAGTCACTACTACTCTTAAGGATGTCACTTTCTATTTATAAAAACCTTACTTCAATCTATTTATTTTACAGTCTTTGACTTCGCATCCTTTCAAATTTCGTCATTATTATTTCCTCATTGTTGTTTAACCTTACCACAAGTAATATTTTGCTACGAAATATTTTACCATATGCTACTGTATACTTAAACTTCCATCAATCTCATCACATTACCAATCTGAATTACTGGTAAATTACATTTCATTTGAAGATACTTTAGACAATATCTTTTAATTAATTAATTAATTATTTAATTGAACACATAAATATTGGTACAAAAGGGCACCAAATAGATATGCGCCACACAAAACAATGAGAATTTGAAGAGGAGAAGGAAAAAAGGTGAGGAGCGTAAAAAAAAGACAATCACGAACAGATCAGTGTAAGGTAGTGTAATAGTAATAATAATGGGGGAAACGGAAAGGTACAACCAGAAGAAATCTTTCAGTTAATAAAGAAACAACTAATTTTTATGAAGAAAGTAAAAGAAGCTTACAACAGGATCGTCACTGGCTTCTATTCTGAGCCATATCTGATAACGTCTCTAACCACTGTATAGCACCATCTCTCGAACCTCAGCCAGGGAGTTGTGAAGGACCAACAGAAGCCAACCCCTTACAGCTTCCTTCAATACCACGACACCATGTCATACACTGACCACCTCTCCGCTTTTTCCAACCAGTCCCAGAGTCGGCAAATAATAGTCGACGTGGAATAATAGTAATAATAATAATAATCTTATTACTGTAATATATATATATATATATATATATAATAGAAATTTACATATTATTGAAATAAATTTATTCATTTTATTCAGGAAGCTTATTCAAATCTTGTTTATCAATGGATTAATAATTGTGAAAATCCTATGATACAAACACGTCTTAGTGATGCTTTCAAACATTTAGGTAATTATTGTTGCCATAGTAATAATGATAATAATACTGAAATAATACAATCCGATCAACAATTAATAATGGAGGATCAAACTAATAAAAATAATTTATATATAAAATGTTTTAATGAAACTAAACCAACTCGTTCAATTCGATCAGAATTTCAACAATATTTTCATTTGTTTGTCACTGAAATGCGATCATTTATATGTTTTGGATAATTAAGTGTATCTATGTTATATATACAGATATATCTCGTTTGTATGCCACTTTTTCTACATAACTAAAATGCTGGTACTTGAATCCAACGGTGAGTAATAAATACTCTTCAGTTGTGTTTTTTTTTCTTATCGTCGTAATACTTTCCTTTTTATGTATTTAACTCGATCTATCTAATTCATATTTTATTACAATCAGCATTTTGGTTTGCCGTTGTACAGACTTGTTAGATTCATATTATTATTATTATTATTATTATGACAAATAATTAAAACTATTATTGGATAATAATGTATATTCTTTTGAGTTTTTACTTGTTTTGATGATGAGTGTTGAACCGTTCAAACTAATTGTCTCAGATTAGAGTAATATGTTTTTTGAATTGGGTATTTTTTTTTTAACAAAATCGAGAGGATGAAAAGCGAATGTCCAGCGCTGTAGTTGGGTTGGTGGACACGGAGAGTTGTAAAACGCTGACAAAATAGATGCAGAGAGTTTATTCAACTAACTCTGCCTTATCCAAATGAACAGAAGCCGTAGTCATTGTAAGATCTATACTTGGTGTTTGTATTCAAAAGGGTCGGTAGTTGAGCTTCGAGATTCTTAACAGCAAGCGAAGTAAATATTTCTCCCATCAACCATGATGGGATGGTTTACGATGACATTTTCTACGCGAATTCAGGAGTCTCGATTAGTGTTTTCCAACCTACGTCACTTGTAATGTAGGCATGATGTTCGTTTGTCAGTTAAAAGATGAGTATCCTGTTCAAGAACTCTCTCTCACACTTAATGATTGTGAAACTCAGTCTTTGAAAGTTGGAGATATGCTTAGGTTGAGTGTTTTGATCATTCATGCTATCAAAGCACTACTCAATTTTCTTGGAACCACCAGATATGCAATGGTGAGGCTAGACTTAAGATTCCAGACAAAGATGGAAAATATGGTATGTCAAATAAATGAATACCCATATGTATAAGATTCTACGTTGGTGATGACTGATTGTCCATTCTTAGTGGTTAGACTTTTTGATATTGATTTCGAAATGAATGTACTGCATTATAATTAATGCCATGTATTGTCGTGAATAAACAATGAAGACAAATATGACAAGATTTACATAGATTGTGTAGTCTTAATGCAATCTAGCCGTTACATTTTATTTTGTCGAGACTCTAATTTATGGACGAGCCAATCAGAAGCGCTTTAGAGATTTCAAGGTTACGGCGCCAATTTCAGTACCTAACGCTGATGTACGTTCGGTTCACAGGGTATTTTATACAGAACATGATAATTGAGCGGATATAACAAATAAAACGGCGGGACTATAATTTATGGACGAACCAATCAAGTATAAGATAGCAGACCTCGGATTTTAACGCGAATGCCTTTCATCCATTTGGCTAAATAAATTTCTGGCATTATAGCTGATGTCAGTTCGTGATGAAAACCCTATATATAATTCCTAACTAAGACAAATTATGACAATTATTGCGAACTGGATAATAAAAGCACCAGTAACACTGGCTGCACCCAGGTACTACAATATATACGGATGTTTGGAGAGCGTACAGACTCCTACATAGTCTTGGTTATGTGCAACGTGTCGTTATCCACAAGTAGCATTTTGTGTACTCAACAACCGGAGTACACACAAACAATATTGAAGCTGTGGTCGAGGTTGAAAGAGTTTTGCGACCTTATCATGGCTCCAGCGGCCTACTATAATGCAGCTATATGGATAATTTCCTCTACTCCATGCATTACGATTTTAGAAGCTCTGAACCTCTTTCTAACCTTGATAAGTTTTTGAACCACGTATAAGAAGTGTATCCACTTTATTTCCTTGCTTTTGTATAATATATTTTTACTCTACACTGTCGTTTTCTGATTGGTTGATATTTCTCAAGGTCACTCGAGGTTCGTCCAAAGGTCGTCCATAAATTAGAGACTCGCCTGTTTTGCACATACACACACTCTCTGTATTTATGTGTGTACGTGTGCACTGAATCTGCAATCAAACTTCATTATATTATCTTAAAATTAAAACAAATCAAACTAAGTTTTTACATTGAACATTTATGATTTTATTTGACAATTCATTCATTCTTCATTGACCGGTTCCTATTAACAAATACATTCACATCGTCCATGATCAAGCATATAAGAAGTAGTTTCTGGAGGAACTTCAGTTGTTACAGTATAAGAATTCGTATTTGATTCATCTTTATAGTCTTCATCTGGTCGATTGTTCACACTTACTCTGTAACAGAAAGAAGACAATAAGAACATTAGATCATTGTGAAGATTGTCTACTAACTACTATCTCACAATAAAATTATTCCACTTACAGCTTACACTGTATTATTCTGAGTTTTAACAGTCAAAATGTTTACTTACTGGAGTACTGAAGTATGTTGATATTTTATTACCTATGTTGCTGGTGTTGTCATTAGTTTAGGACATGAACAAAATTAAAATATGACTGACAGATTTCAGCTATTCAACCAACTAGTTGAATAACTAAATTAGTTTGATAAGTCGTTTAAGTTCAATGTGAGTGAATAATTAGACTTAAACGATCCACATTTAAAGTGTCATATTCATTGACTCTGTTTCTAAAGTTGATATGAGCTCTAGCCTAGTAATTTGTTTTAGGCGTTTTGTGGTGTTTGGTTATTCTTATTGTGACTTTTAATTTGAATCAGTGATAGCAGTAGATCAATATATTTGTTATTGTCAATTGTTGTCAGTTCGTCATATCTCAGTGTGCTTGTTAAGTCTGCTTCACGTTCTCTGTCCTTATTCACTACCCTTCGACTCTTTTGTGTATTGTTTTATACTACTTATTAATATTCAGTAAATAATTGTATTCCTAGCAATTTCTATGCGTGTGTTGTAAAACAAGTTTGTCCTAATATATTCTGAAATATTAACATATACTTATAACATTTATTGTATTTATCATTAGAATTATTTCACCTCAGTCATTGTAACAGTTATTCTCAATTTTGTGCAATCGTTTAAACCTTGTTTAAGCGCAACTGTTTTCATATTGCTCTCTCTTAGTTCAATTTTTGCTTGTTGATAAATCGTTATCAAGTTTAGACGCAGCCAACGGCTGTCATTTTTGCTCTACCAAAGCCTTTCTTATTTCAGTCAAAAGGACGTCGTAAACGCCACAGACACTTCACAAATTGATGTTTGTAACTAATGTTTGTAGTATTATTTAATAAAGAATCGCTATTTTAGACAAATCGCTACTTTGCGAACTTCGATTTTGTGTATATCTCAATTGAATGATTTGAACGCTTCGATAGACTTAGCAGTGGTGTTTGTATGAACTAATTATTCTGTGTACTTGATTTGTGCCTGATTTCGATTTTTAAATACAATACGTTCGTTTGTGCTCACATAGTTCTACCTAACTCGAATTGTGTTACTTCGAGGTTCTATATTCGACTAATTATCCTAATACTTTTAATTATCATAATTATTATTATCGTTCTGTTGTGACTTTATGAGCCGCTTGTTATCACGTAATCTATTCGCCAATCAAAATACGACTTATTCGCTCTTATACTATACTAAACCAATGACTTTCGTTCAGTCTGGTCGGCGTAGCGTCTAGCCCGTCCGGCTAAGTCCAGATTGTCAATAGCAGCCTCCACTATGCAAATCCTTTATTTCAGACATACTGGGTTTATATACCAAACAAAACAGGCCTCAACGCACCATGAAATAGGAAATAGCATTTGTACACAATAAAGCCAAAAAGTGACTGTGAATGTGGGAGGCAGTAGTCAATAAACTGAACATAACTTAAGAACAGTAAATTGTACAATAATAATATATAAGTCAAAATAAAGCTTATAACAAGGGGAATATAAATATACATAATCTAGTTACTAAATATTAATACTGTAAGAATATATAAATAATATTAGTCCATTAATAGGTCTCAGACGTTACTCGTAATGTTATCTTCACTAGGATATAACAGATTCTATTATCTATTCATCAACATTCTCTTTCTATATGTAATTTAGATTATATTACCAGTATACAAGGTGATAAATCATTTTCATCACAAAATGAACAAGAATAGCTCTTTAGTCCAGTATTGGCCCCCAAATGCCCTGTTATGGCCGAGAGTAGGTTGGGCACACCCTCCCTCTCGAAATGCTCTCACATGACCACGCGTATACAGCCTCTGCCACGGAAGTCCTACTCACTGCCTTCTTGTGGCGGGGTGTTGTTTACGAAATTGAGAGGACGAAAAGCGAATGTCCAGCGCTTTAACCCAATTCCAAACCAATGGTGCACATGGGTTGGCTCCAGTATCCTGCGGGAACAAATGGCATATGAACCAATCGTTGGTCACCGGCTACCATGGGACTGCATCTCCTCACGATGCTCCACTGCCTTGTGGATCAGACCTTTAGGTCAAAGGCTCGAGGTGTGGCCCCCTAAGACAACCACCTCCTTCGGTCTGGGCACCCGAGTTGTATCCCAGCCCTCACACAAATCGAATGATTTATGTGGCGCATATCCATTTGGTGCCTCACTGTATCAATGTTTTTGTGTTTAAATAAAAAATATAATAAATTGGTACGTAATAAATGAACAACAAATTCTAAGTGAAGATGATTTACAAAGTCGTTAAAAGTATGAATTACATCAGATTTGAAACAAACATTTACGATGAGACTATAATTTATTGACGACCTTTGGACGACGCTAAACTGACCTTGAGAGTATCTACCTAATAACCAGGACCAAATTAGGGTTATGAACCAGTATGAGGAATTAGAATTAGATTTAGGGTTTTCATCACCAACTGACATAAACTGTAATGCCAAAACTCTATTGATCTGAATGGATGAGTAAATTTCACGCGCCAAAATCCAAGACCGGTTATCTAATACGTGATTGATTCGTCTATAAATTATAGTCTCACCATATTTACTCATTTAATACTTTAAACATATAAGATAGAATCTCTATCAAGATAAATACAATCAAGCGATTATTTCTCATACATCTTTAAAACTTCAATCATTCTGACTGATTTGTATGAGATTACACATATCAAAACATTTTCCTTATTGAATTAATGATGCTTACAAATGCAAAAGAATCACGTTAGATGCCGTTACTGTTCTGCATTACAATATAGTATTCAGCTCGGAAAAGGTTAAGAAGTATGTTCGATACGCTTTTCTGAGCTGTACGTCTGCTTTTGATTCTACCCTTAGACAATTTTTACTTAATGAGTTAATCAGCGTCAACACTGACAGCTGGATAGCCAACTGGTTATGTTTTAACCTCTCTGGAAGAGAATAGTACACTGTATTTGGAGGAAAGCGTTCAACATCTTTA